GGTCCCTCTGCAGAGCCTTAGGTATAACTTCTGCCATACCTAAGACAGCTAATGCTAATTTCAATAGTATCTTATAATTTCCAAGTCTTCTTGATGCATTGATAGCACTAGTCATTAAACAATGCATTGCCAAATATGAGTAAGGGAATCTAAATCTGACTCATAATGTTGACTTGTGTGTCCAGCTCATTCCAACTAACACCCTGTGATACAGTCTTTACCACAAGACATCACTTCCTTTACCGCAAGGAAGTGGTAGTAGCATAGATCAGAAGAGTGAAAATGTTCATAAGGTATGTATCTAATATTAAAAGCAAGGCTTGCTATTGTGGCTGTGGTAGAGAGAAAATGGTTGTTTAGAAAATACTGTAGTCAGTAGCAGACGTGGAAAAAATTGTCTTTTCTTCCAGTGTCCAGGGGAATATGCTCCAGAGGCTGTCAGTTCTATTATTTCCCCTGTGTTCATGTATCTGTACTATCTGAGGCGAGGGGTTTAGCCAAGCTGAGAGCAGTGCTTGGGCTGCTTATACCAGTGATAAACACTGCCATTTCTGTTTCTCTCAGCAATGCTTTATGGAGTCCCGACACTGCTTGGCAGCGGCCAGTGTCATTTTTAGCCAAGCTGGACAGGTGCCATCTGCTGAAGACAGTAAGTTCTTATAAAAGCTTTGAATAAAATATTGTGAATTAAGCATCATTGATACATAATGTTAGAAGTGCAGTCTAGCAGTATGTACAAAACTTATCCCAGTGTTAATTTTCTAAAATCCTTTTAATTAATAATAAAGTGGAATGTTTCTGAAGAGCTGCTTCTACAGCTTAATATTGGCTATGAGTAAACCCTGTGAGGAAAACCACAAGTGCTTCTTGCTGGTGTTTCAGAAAGCATACCAGTATAAAAGTGAAATTTAAACCAATAACCAGTTTCAGTAGTGGCAATGTCTTGTTCACCCATTTGTCCTTGTACATGTGCTTAAAATGCTCCTTTGTTTCTCTGTGATCAGAGGGCAATGATTTAATGAACCAAACCAGATGCTTCCTGGGAATAGTTTTAAAAGAAGGAGGGAAACTGCAGCTCTTAAAAACCCCAAATCCAGCAGTTACTTGTATTGTCTTTTGTTGCTGGATGCTGCAGCTTCATTAACGGCTATTTTTGGAGTTGTAGCTCCCCTCCTTGTTTTGGATATTGATACAAAGGAACGACTCTGTGGTTCAGTGCAAAGATCAATAAAAGAAACATTTGGAGAACTGACCACAATTTTAAGGACCTGTGGTTACATGGTAGTGTCAGTACTCAACATAAATCCTCTGTTTTAGGCTTAGTCCTTGCTTATCTACAGCACAGCCTTTCACATTCTCTGTCTTGGGCAACTGAAAGCTTCAAATCAATAGAGCTTTAACTCATAGAGAGTGAGCAAGTACTCAGGGTAGCCTCTGTGTGAGTTCTTAACTCTGACTTTGAACAGTGAATATATTGGTTAACTTTTAATGGGTTGAGCTGTTTAGAACACAAGCTCTTTAATCCACTGATGTTGTTATTTCAGGTTAAAATATAACCTGAATAGACACAACTGAGTTTTATTTAATTGAAGTTCAGTGATAGTACATTAATTTAATTGCTTTTAGTATTTCTCTTAGCTCAAAAACCATAGAACTCTATGCAGTTGCCTTTCTTACTATTTGTCAAGAGTCAGGTCATGCTAATCTGTTAGGCTCTTTGAAAACAGTATATGACAAAATATTCAGTAGGTCTGAATCAGTGTTTATGGGCTTCCATAGCTACCTGACCGCACGGTTGTCAGAGTTCATTAATACGATACTTAAGCCAAAAAGCGAGGTTATGTTTTCGGTAGGTATGTAGAAACATACAGTCAGTTATGGTTTCAAATTCAGGTGCAAGACTGGAAGTGGTAGATGAGAGTCCTGTTTTTGATTGTACTTTATAGAATTCTTGTGTGATTTTTTTGGTCAACTCAACTAACTACTTCTATCTTGACTTCCTCCTACACCAAATGGGAGTAGTGATATTTGTGTTTGTTTCAGTGGAGTAAACGTTTATCCTATTTTCCCTTCCTTTTCACGGTATAGAGAGCTGGGCTGTGGACTTGAAGATCATTATACAGAAAGTTCTAACTTACAGAAAGACTAATGCACAATCAGCATTGGCCACTCTCAAGCACATTCATTTTCTCATGTTCATTGAAATATAAACAAACACAGAAATATTTAGTAAAGGTGCCTTTTCTTAGATTAGGAACAGTTCTTATTTCCTTAATAAGAACAACTTGATTGGCTCTAATGGAAGATAATGTACACAGTGGATCTGGGTCTGAAGTTGGCTTTTTATTTGGTGAACAGGAATGCTAGCATCCCCTCATTGTTCAGCTAACTCGCTGCCTTCTGCCTGGAGGCAGGGAAGTGAGTTCTCTGAAATCCATTCGGTTTCTGAAAACGTTATCTTGAGACGTCAGCAGTGCTGCTACTTGTAACAGTGGGGAGACTGTGGAGAGAAAAATACGGAAGCTGTAGAGCTAATAAATCTTACGTTGGTACCAGGTGGATTAACCAAGGGCAGTTTCCCATACTTTTGTTCCCTTTTTTGGTAGCAAGTCTGGGGCCCATTGCAGTAGAAATGCCCTAATCACCCTCAGAAACAAGGGCAGGCAGCTGAATCTCAGAAAACAAATTGTCCTGATTTCTTTCTCTTGTTACAAAGAGACATGAAAATCTTTTCCAGTAAAACACCTCCAAGATCAAAGGACTTTTTAAGCATACGTTATGACCTATTTTTTTGTAAGAATTCATGCATGACAAATCCATGTTAATCTATATGGTTTTCTACCAGAATGACAGTTTCCAGAATTATTATATAAACTGACACAGAGAACATGTTTCTGTCTAAAAACGAGGAAAAGATAATTAAATACAAGTAACGAATTCTTTGCATGTAATATTTGAGGTTCTTGCTGGAGTGCTTGACTTCTCTTAAGGTTTTTATGTGTTTATGTCCGTTCAATAGATGAAACGGAGCAAGACCAACAGGACCTTCGACAGAGAAAAGCTGAAATTGCAAGATGCTGGATTAAGTATTGCCTGAATCTCCTGCAAAGCGCTCGGAAATTACTTGAGGTAACAGAAAATCTGTTCTGTAGCTGTCATTGTTTAAAAACAAAGTCTCTTTTGATGTTTGTAACAGGAATCAATTCATAGTTGGTAGCAAATGATAAACAATTGCCCAATGAATAATACAGTAGATGCTTGCAATGTAGCAGGTGTTTCATAGTATGCTTTGACTTTAATGCAGCACTTAGAAATGAGCACGGATAGGCGATCAGCTCTGTAGTGTGATCAGTGCACTGCTTGTTCAGCAACTTCACAAATTTCTCTCCTCTCTGCTGCATTTTCTTGCGGCTTGATTTGGCAGATTACTCCTTATTTAATTGCTAGTAAGAACATCTTCTTAATATGCAACAGTTTTGTGTGCTGGTGTTCTCATTCATTCAAGCCTTGGATTCATTCGAGCGTTCATTTCATTCATTTAATCATTCATTCGAATGTTTAAAACTCAGCATTTGCTGAAATGCTTTGCAGAAGCAGGGCCTTTAGGCTTTACATTTTGTTTTGGCTATATTGTCACACGGGGTAGGGAGACTAAATTGTCTTAGTCTTATGTTTTTACAGAATCGAGACTGTAATTTACATGATATTTTGTGAATATAGGGCCTAAAATGCCAATGTGTCTTCTCTTCTGTCTTGTTGCTTAGGAGTTTGTATTTCAAAGGTAATCATAAATAAAATGATTCAGTATAAGTCACTCTTCATAAGCCACATGCATTTTTAATTAGTATGCTTTGTCATTTCAGGATAACATAGGAGAACTGGATCCGGACAGGCAATTGGAACTTAAAGCCCAAAGGAAAAAAGAGGAGGATGAAAAAGAGAAGGGCAGGAAAAAAGCTGTCCTTTTTGGGACGAGTGATATATGTGACTCTGTCTTAGCCATGGAAGAGAAAGTGAGCAGCGTATATCCTTTAGATTTTCAAGAAGCCAGAGAAATCTTCCTAGTTGGTCAGAACTATGTTCAGGAAGCAAAAGAGTTCTTTCAGGTTGATGGTTATGTCACTGACCATATTGAAATTGTTCAGGATCACAGTGCTTTGTTTAAGGTACTTGCTTTCTTTGAAGAAGACTATGAGAGACGTTGCAAAATGCACAAGCGTAGAATAGACATGCTGGAGCCTATATATGCAGACTTGAATCCACAGTACTATCTGTTGATCAGTAGGCAGCTTCAGTTTGAACTAGCTGACACCTTTTATGAGATGATGGATTTAAAGGTAGCTATTGGTAACAGGTTAGAGGAGCTAGACTCCCACACAATTAAAAAAATTAATTCTCTGGCTCAGTTAGCGATCAAATATTATGAACTCTTCTTAGATTCTTTGAGGAACCCAGATAAGGTGTTTCCTGAAGAGCTCGAGGAAGATGTTCTTCGCCCTGCAATGGTGGCTAAATTTCATATTGCACGACTATATGGTAAGCTTATTACTTCGGATAGCAAAAAGCAGCTGGAAAATATGCAGACATCATTGGAATATTACACATTTCTGGTAGACTATTGTGAGAAGTACCCAGCTGCTGTCCGCGCTGTCGAAACTGAACTAGAACTCAGTAAGGAGATGGTGGGTCTTCTTCCAACAAGAATGGAGAGGCTAAGAGCAAAACTCTGTCCGTTCATATAACTACTTGCCTTGAAGGAAATGTGCACTATTAAAATGATATCTGTCAAAACCAGTGCTGTCAGCTTCTGTACTGATTGATAGAACTAAGGTGTCTACAGTTCGGCAGTCCACCTAGAGCCTGCAGTAGTATAACTTTGTGAGAAACTCGGAGCTCTCCAGTTCAGTAGCTCACCCACACTAATGGTATAAACTTTAAAGTGAATGTCCAGCTAATGCTTTGTATTGTTTGTCCTGTATGTAAATATAAACCTTTTCTCCCTTACAGTTTTTTTCCTTCGGCGTATGGTTCAGTTTCTAAATGTAGTGCTGTATGAAAATTGTTTCTTTTAAGAGAATCTGTTTCTCTAGGAAAATTTTTCTAAGAAACCTGAGGCACGTTCTTCCAACTAGAATATATTTTATCTCTTCTAACCTTTGTCCCCAGAAAACTATCCGTATGAAGGGAACTTTATTTTCAATATTTATTTTGTATGTTGCTCGGTGTTTTCTTTGTTCCCCTGTTAATCAAAACCTAGTTAATAGAGGCTCAATAAATGGACTAGCTTGGCTAAATGTTTTTTTTCAGAGTCCTTAGAATTCTGTTTCCTTGTGTCTTACTAAGATATGATATACGTTACAACTTTGGCCAAAATAAATAGTTGTGAAAGTGTTTCCACGTGAGTGTCTTCAGTAAAAACATGTTAGCAATTGAAGTGCCAGAACTAAGAGCAAGAAAGCAGCAAACTTTCTTGCTTGTGGTGGGAGGAGATACGCCACTCTTAGTACACTGTGGAGAATTCACAGGGTAGAGGTGCTGTGCTCTAGTGCTCCAAACAGTTGCCGAATACAGCTTAGTGGCCTGGGATGCCCTGGACGGCTTCTTGCCTCGTGTTGGTCAGGGAGCCCAGGTGCTGCCTTAGCAGGAGCTGCAAGTAGGGACCTCTCTGAAGTTGCTGCAGATCCCAGCGCTGCCGAGGCGCTATTCAAAATCTGCCTGTGTGCCGTGGACGGCTGACTTCTCTGTTAAAGCTGTCCTGGTTGTCATTAAGGACCTGCTGATCCAGCAACGTTCCTGGTCTTACACAACCTGTTACCTTTGCTTTGTTCTAATATAGCCACCTATTTACTCTTTATGGAAGACCAGGCTGCATTTCTGACCCAAAACGTACACAGAGGTTGTCTTTGTATTTCTGGTGTCCATAGAAGGATTATGAACCAGGACCTGTTTCAGATAAAACGTAGGCTGAGCACATTGTCCAACCGTATATTAAGAGATAAGGGTCAGAGAGGCCAGGGGAAAGTGAAGTGACAGGGTGATGGGGTGCGCAGTAGTGTGCCACTCTGTGCACCAACATTCTTATCGCCGTCAAGTTCATGGGAAGATGTTTACAGCAATAGAGGGCGTTGAAGGAGAATAGTCAAACTACTGGATTATTCCGGAAAACGAGGGGGAAAAAATGACGTTAGCTTGGAGAGGGTGAGGGGAAAGCATGCGCAAGCAAGAAAGCGTGTACATCTTAAATGTGTGGTAAAAATCTCTAGCTTGCAGAATTCTCTGCAGAAGACTTCTAACCACAAACAAATAGGCCAACAAATGGGTCCTGGAAATGAGAGGCAGCAAAACTCAAAACTAGACCAGCTACCTGCATGCATATAGAATAAGGGAGAGAGTGTGTGCACGTGTGTGTGTGCGTCGTTTCTGTTTTACTAAATAATTGTCTAGTCGGTCTTTGGGAGGTTTTTTTTGCTGTCAGATCTTTTATGCAGTTTTTCCTGTGGCCTGAAGGTAGGGCAGCCCGTAGTTTCTCAGTGAAACCGTTCTCAGCGGGCTGTACTGTGCGTTGGTTTTGTGTAAGATTTCAATTAAAGCTAGCGTGCACTTCTACCATTTTATCATAATTTGAAAGTTAATTTTTTTCTACTAACTTTTAGCTTCATATTTGAGTAGAAGGTGGTGATACATGATCCCCCCCCCCGCCCCCTCCCATATGCTTCATTATTCCACCTATGAGGGCCCTTGAGCAAATTTTTTAAAGCCAGGATTGGCTCATCAAACTTAGTTTACCTGTAATTTAGGGAAGGATAGATTGTGGGCTAAACCAGCATACAAAATTACTTTCTTCTTTTCAAATAGAATAATCCTGTCGTATCCTTCAAATACTGGTCTGAAGCGAGCGTTAAAAGTTACCTGCAGGGTGGGCAAAGCCGAATGAAGCGTGGGGCTACGTGTCCCTTTTAACAGCAGTGGTGGGCGAAGGAACACCCTGAATTCACCGAAATCCTAGTGAGAGCTCGGCAGGCAGGTAGGAGCGGGTCCGTACTTAAGAAGGCCTGGAAATAAGAGGGATCAGAGCTTTTTCAACACAGCTGTGTGGTTGGGGCTGTGGTTTGGAGACCTCTCCCCTCTGAAGATATCCCAGAACGCTTCAGCTTTGCAGCTCTTCTTAAAAACTGTGCAGTACAGTGTAAATACATTTCATATAAATGCATACAGAGTTACAGAAACCAATGACGCCAAGTCTGCATCTCCTATACTAAACGTTCAAGACTGCCACCAGCTAAGAATATTTTATTACTGGAGACTATATTGTGCCAGACGCTCAGCACAACACACTACATTGTGGTTCTTCTAAGGCACTCTTTTTAAGGAAACATTTTGAATAATTCCTCTTTGTTCAATGATTTGAGAGTAAGATTGAGTTTTTAGTTAAAAAAAAGGAGGGGGGAGCTTGTTGGATTAGGCAGCAAAGCTCTCTTCAGGAATGTGGAGTTTTAACTGTAAAGTATGTGTGAGGTCAGGCATTTATTTCAAAGATTAATTAAAGATTAGGTCCCTGTGAACTCCATTTAACCTGAATTTCTATTCCTTTTTGTACACAAAAAAAATCTTACAACTGAAACCTCCTTTCTGTTGTTCTACTAGTTTTATCTCCTTAGCCAGCGTAAAGCAGCGAGGTTTACAAGAAGCCCATGTTTTTCGGAATTTGTATCGAGTGTGAGATCTCCTGAACTCAGAGGCTATAACCTCAGCGTACTTCTTCAAATAGTGCATAATGCTCATGAGAAGTAATTTGGTTTGATTAAAAACACAGTTTTCTTTTAATTGAAATGCTCTTAATTCTCATGCTGGCTAGAGACATGGTGTGGGTTATAAAACGGGTCTATTGGGAAGGTTGTGCTGTTCTTAAATATTTCAGGAGAGAAAGAAACCAGTGCCTTGTTCTCTGTCTCTCCCTCCAAGCCCATCAAAGGAAGCTCTTTTTTTCCCTTGAGAGGACCGGACCGGAGGAGAGCGGCAGGAGGTGGCAGCCATGTCCTTTGCCGTTCTCCCCTCAAGCCAGCTGAAATACCAGGGGAAGCGAGCAGAAGGGAGCCCTCACTTCCCCTTCGCAGCAGGAAAGCGGGTCCCCCGTGTTGCAAGGGGAGCAGCCAGTGGCACTTGCTGCCTCGGTGTGGCAAAAAGGAAAAGGTCCCCGGGCTGGGTTCGCTCTATTTGCCTGCCCGAAAGCTCCTCTCTTGGGAGTTCTGGTCCTGCCCCCGCGCAGGCTCGCATGGTCCTGGCGAGGCGGATGGTTTCCGTCTGCAAAATGGAGATGCCTCAATGTATCAGTGCAGCGCTCGCGCTGGGTGTGATTGCTGCTGCGCTTCCACGTCCGGAAATATTGCAGGAGCCTGATTAAGCTTCTCATCAGACCATGGGCTGATCATGTTAACGTATGGCTTTACGCATTTCAGTTTTGTTGGGTGTTTTCCTTTCACTCAGCACTGAAAGAGCAAAGATGAGCTTTACTCGTGTGTTGCTTTTAAAAGACTGAGCTAGTCAGCGTTACCTAGATGTTTGCTGTGGAACTTTTCATTACAAAATGCCCAGAAATAGTCCTGCAAAGGAGGACGTAGACTGGCAGCTCACAAGGCCAACCCTTCGGTAGTCTTGAAGTTACAGAACTAAAGACTGTTATGTTAAAATCAAGTGCGTAAATTTGTGGTGAGAAGCGTTTGTCAACTTTCTTTCCTCTTCAATTGCAACAACTCTGGCTACTTTAGAACTTGTCACAAATGACTAATGCAGATTTTAAATTTGGTTTGAAAACTGCTTTTATGTACTTCCCAGGAACTCTGTCCAAAGTGCCTGCTAGTACTTTTTAGTTTTGCAGTTTGGCTGGTGGTTTCTAGCTCTTCCTTGTCACGGGTAGGCGTACAAACAGTCAGTGGTTTCCTGATGAGGACTATTTGCCTGGCTGCTTTTTTTCCAAAACCATTGTACAGTTGTGTCTTTACAGCTGAAGAGCTGGACGATGTGCCAGAGAGACTGTTGGGATACTAAAACCAGCACGTTTTGCAAACATGTTACTTGCCTTCAGAACGGAAAGTGTCTGTGGTATCGCGCGTTTGTTTAGAGAGAAGTGACTGATAACAATGTGGTGCCTTAACACCAAAGACGTTAATAATTCAGGTGTTTTTAGCAACGTTTTAAATGTTTAGTGCTTGAGTTTTTGGCATTTGGTATGCGCAAAATACTTAAAGTCTTTTTACAAGCTCAGTCTCTTTTACAGCGACAATTACTAGTTGGCATCAGACAAGGATGCAAGGATTTCACTGTTCGAGGGTTTTAATGCAATTTTCTGCTGAAACAGAGAGGAATTGCGTAAGCGATTGAGTGAAAGATCACGATGGGCATGTGATGGAGTGAGCTGGTGTTAGTCACTGAACGCCATAAGAGGAGTACAAGTCCTTGTGTCAGCTACTCTGAGATCCACGGGTGAAATGCGTGGGGGGGGAAAAAGGGAATTAACAAGATGATTTCCTGTACACTAACTGTCTGGAGGGGAGCAAGAGCAAGCGGTTCCCAGGTGGGGTCCCAAACCACTCAGTGCTGGCCATGAAATTCCTCCTGTTCTCCTGGCGCCCATCTCTGGGTAGCCAGTGGGTTCAGCAAAGAAACTTCTCACCAGAGAAGTTTCACAGCAGCCCACGAGAGGATGCAATCAGGTGGGCCCAGAGCCTCCTTCCGCCAGAAAGCCAGGGCTTTTTAAGTAACAGAGGTAGTGACACCCTAGAAGCGACGTCTAGTACAGACAAGGAGACGAAAACGGTGATGCTGGATGCGATTGCCAGCACGTGGTCTGCAGGCTGCAGGAGAGGAGGGGGCAACAAAGAACAACATAACCTCCTGCCAGCAAAGTTTACTCTGAACACCAAATAGTTACCGATGGTTTGTGCGCGGACACGTAGCCCTGATGAGTGTCACACACTGCTATCCATCCTGCCTGTTCACATCTGGAACTTTTGGCAAATGACTCTCAAATCCTTTTTCTTTTAACTTCTCCATGTGCTTTGCCTTAGTGTTTTCTAATGGCACCGAGTTGCTGGTGTTACATAGGGCTCGTGGAAAGACATACTTTGCTCTCTACACCATAAAGGCAGAAGGTATTGCAAGAGCAAGGGTCTCGTGCGTCTCACCTCCCTGGTTGGCCCGTCCTGGCCTCCCCGCTGCGCTCTTTGCTGGAAACGGTAGATAAGACGAATCCTGCCCCAGGCTTCGGCTTTCCCTCCTGGCTGACCCCTGTCTAAGTCCTC